TACGGTTAATATTTCTTTATTTTGCTGATACTGACTCTAAAATTATCCTATTCTGTATTTAAAGGTTATCTTTTGAAAACATGTATAAGCAGGACGGATATAAAAAGTGTTTGCGATTCTCATAGACGTCGTAAAGTGATTTTATGTCGTGAAATGTTCAGATTTAAACGGAAAAGGCTGCTTTCTGTTGACAGCTACGTGAAAATAGTTTCCATGGGGACGGAATATTTTTAATTAGTAGCGGGAAATAAAACAAGAAAACATAAATTCATATAGACAGGAATAAGCGGTTTATTAAAGCGATAAGGACTAACATTTAGTCGAGAAATCATGACTAACACTGTGCTGGAAAATTTTGGCTTCATTTGCTTAGTGGTAACAACAGCCGCTACTTTTATATGTTTTGTGACCCCGTACTGGCTTGTGACACATGAATATATTGTGGCTCGGACTCATGGCGGACTTCTGGCCCACTGTGACCCAAAAGGTTGTAAATGGTTTTGTGCGGACAATATGTTTTATCAGGATAATATGCCAGGTATAGATTGTTATATACTTTTTGTTTGTGTGTCTTTAAAGCTGCGTGCCTCCAGATGTGCCCATCGTCGGGGCCCACGGGTACTGATTTCGCTGAACTACAGCGAATGAAATGTATGTACGTAACGAGAACCCATGGGTTCCCGATGATGGATTGCTAAAATATTTTAAAAAGTCAAATTTGCGAAATATGAATTAAGATTTTAAGAAAAGTAAAAATATTCAATTACAAGTTATATTTTACATGCTATGTGCGATTATTGACTGATTTTGCAGCATTTATCACCATATACATACTGGGTGACTAACACATTTCGAGCATTTTTTACCTTTTTTGACCTCATTTGTTTTTGTTTACTTGTTGTGGGGGGGGGGGGGTATATATAGATTTTAAGTGCCGTTTGAAAATATGTAATTTAGTTATTTTGTTCATTTCTTGATATTTTACTTTTAAATACATTTTCAAATGTTCATGAAAAATAGCATGAATCTTGAGGCATACTGCTTTAAACACGCTGAGTGGTGAACTCGTCGGACTAGTAATCTATGGAATGTAGGCCTTGTGGGTTCAAACCCGACCAAGGGCAAGACGTAGGTTTTCTTTAAGCAGGAGACTTTACTTTTTTTCGTAGTGGTAGCTTTTTCAAGGAACAGATTCATGGTTTTGTCTTTATAATCGAATTAAAAAACATTTCGTATAAACTAAACATTATACACATTTATTTGGTTGCTATGGTGATAGAAATTACAACAAAGTTTGAAATATTTCTGTCATTTATCGGTTGTATCATAGTAAGTGTTTTCTTGATATTGACTTAGTTTTAACATGTTTGACCATACAAGTAACTGACAACTTCTCCGCATGAAGCGAAGGAGAGAATAACGTAGGCTGCTCCTTTTTATCCCCACTATAATCTAACAAATCATCAGATATCGTGTATTGTACAAGTGTTGAAAAGTTAAGCTAACATATATAGAAGTAACTTGATATTTAATTGTCTCAGTAAGCGTATATGTATGTTATCAAGAGAAGGAAACGTGTTATTATATACCATTAAATGAATTATTAAGAAATATTGATGAAATGAAATGCGTATTTTGATTTTCCGTATTTTCACTCTAAAAAAATATTTTTCACTCACTGCAGTAAAATAAATTTCCCGTGTTTCACTTGTGTCTTGCCGGACTACTTTCTTCTTAGTTTAGCCAATACAAAAAAATAAAGTAGAAGTCTTAAGAATTGTTAGGTCAACAGAGAGAAAAGTATATAATAACCAGAAAATTCAAGTTTTTTCTATAAACACGGGATTGATATTTAATTTTCTCAAGGGGAAAAAATCCTGTATTTATAGGAAAAAACTTGAACATCCTCTATATATATGTTATAGCGAATAAATAACAATATTGAATTTAAGCCAACTTTATAAATGAGTTTATTCTTTATTATACAATCTGTGGTTATTAGTGAAATATAAGAATAAATAATTTTATAGGCTATCAGCAATTATATGTAAGCTAACAGTGGTTTTAAGCCCAAATGTAACTTCGGTTGTAATATGGTATGGCGTTTCTCTGTCTGTCCGTCTTTCTGTCAGTAAATGACCCAAGATATGTGTATTATCTGTTATGTGTATCAACTGTTATGTGTATCATCTGTTATGTGTATCATCATCTGTTATGTGTATCATCATCTGTTATGTGTATCATCATCTGTTATGTGTATCATCATCTGTTATGTGTATCATCATCTGTTATGTGTATCATCATCTGTTATGTGTATCATCATCTGTTATGTGTATCATCATCTGTTATGTGTATCACCATCTGTTATGTGTATCATCATCTGTTATGTGTATCATCATCTGTTATGTGTATCATCATCTGTTATATGTATCATCATCTGTTTCATCATCTGTTATATGTATCATCTGTTGTGTGTATCATCATCTGTTATGTGTATCCTCATCTGTTATATGTATCATCATCTGTTATGTGTATCATCATCTGTTATGTGTATCATCTGTCTGTTTCATCATCTGTTATATGTATCATCTGTTATATGTATCACCATCTGTTATGTGTATCATCTGCTATGTGTATCATCTGTTATGTGTATCCTCTGTTATGTGTATCATCATCTGTTATATGTATCACCATCTGTTATGTGTATCATCTGTTATGTGTATCATCTGTTATGTGTATCATCATCTGTTATGTGTATCATCTGTTATGTGTATCATCATCTGTTATGTGTATCATCATCTGTTATGTGTATCATCATCTGTTATGTGTATCATCTGTTATGTGTATCATCTGTTATGTGTATCATCTGTTATGTGTATCATCTGTTATGTGTATCATCATCTGTTATGTGTATCATCATCTGTTATATGTATCACCATCTGTTATGTGTATCATCTGTTATGTGTATCATCTGTTATGTGTATCAGCTGTCATGTATAGCATCTGTAATTTGTATCATCTGATATGTGTATTATATGTTATGTATTTCATCCCTTATGTGATTTCACATAACATTTTTTACGTTGTTTATATAATTACACTAGCAAGATTTTCTACATATGTGTACATTGTTCAAATGTAAAAGAACGCAATTTTCAATTTGAAGAAGAAAATTCCCCCTTAAAGACTTGTTTTACATTCAATACTACTTAATTTCGCTATCTGTCACATTTAGCGCTACTTAAATTTTGCTACTTCTTCGACAATTTGTTTTCACATTCAGCGCTACTGACTTCCAGTGAAACACGTGTTTGCCCCTAATATGAAAATATGAGGCATAATTTGCTTTTAAAACCTAGCGTGTCTGTAAATATTACAAATATACATTGTATATTATCCGATACGATAATAACTGTAAGGAGTGTTATGATGTATTGATCACATCGGGCTACCATTGGTCAGAAATCATTTTAATAATCAGGTTCTAATCTACATATTAGTAGGTAGTGCAACTGATTATACATGGATTAAAAAATGGAAACAAAAGCTATTAATGATTCAGCTCCTCAATATGAATGCCAGAAAGGCGCGAGATCCTAAGAAAATGTGTTATGCGAGTTATCGGTCTTCATAAGTCTGTACCAAATTCCCTGCAGCGGTTACTTCCCCTTATCAATACAGCAAAGCGTGACGTTGTCAAAATTGTCTAGAGTTCCTTCCACTTACTCTACGTTATAGTCTGGAGTTCGTTCCCTGCCGCAGTTAATGAAGACAGGGAACCAGACTAAACGTGACGTAAACGAATTCATAACACAACATTTGGAACGCTTCAACGATCATTATCATCTCGAAAATAATTGAAAGTTGTCCTACCACGTGACTTTTGGTGTAAGAAAAAGGCGGTGGATGTACAATGTAAATTTGTATCATGAGAAACGTTTGTATTCATTGCCATAAATTTGAATGTAAAGTTCTGTAATATTGTGATTGAAAGGTAGGTTTTTCATAATAATGAGTTCGAGGCCTTTATCTGAAATTTGACGGAAAAGGCCGAGAAGTTGCGATTTGACCATATTCATGTACTACTTGTCGAAAGTTCTTATTGTGTGAAATATATCTTCATCCTTAATTTCAAATAAGACGTGTGTTTTAGAAAACGGTCGCTGCATAGTAAAGCATGAATAACAGAACCGTAAATTGCTTAATTAACGGGCAGCATGTGGCGAATGTATCTTTAAGATAAATGTGTTTATACATTTATCCTATTGCATATTCCTGACAATCTTCTGAAATTAATTAATAATCCTGAAATCTATGTTAAGCTCATTTTTTCGTATTGCATAATCCTCAAAGAAGCGTTTATGTGACCTTGAGTAACTAATATAATTAATGTTTTCTGAAGGTATATTATATATGAAAATTTAGGAAGATGGTGGCAATTTTATACAGTCTGATGTTAGATGTTTTACCTTTAAACAATGGAGGCTGATTTTGTACACTTTGCGCGTCGCGTTGTCGAAAGCGACAACACAACCTTATATATAGTTATCGTCTTTTCGTCTTGTCGCTAGCGAAGCACGCCAAACGGCGCGTTGTCGCAAGGCGTGTTGTTGCGATGTCGCCCTGTCGCTTGGCTCAAACATATACAAATAGCCCATCCTTTGATTTGAAGCGAGCGACAATGTGACATCGCGACAACACGCCGCATGACACGCCGTTTGGCGGTCATCGTTAGCGACAGGACGACAAGACAAAAGTCCGACAACGCGCCGTTTGGCGCTTTGTCGTGATGTTGCTAGCGAAAACACGACGCACTAAAATGTTCCGAATCAGCCACCATATAAAACTCCATGTAAATTTCCTGGTATAATTCTAGACATGCAAAGTAAATATATTGCTGCGGGAGTGGTTGCATCAAATAATTGCATACGACTCAGATTTCATGTTTTGTTCTTTGTCTTTGATGAAAATATAAACCAGTTATTTTACTATATTTACAGACTGGTTCAAAGCCACACAGGGATTGATGTCAGTGGGGCTCGGACTTGGATTAATCGCCTTGTTGGTGGCCACATTATCACTGTGCTGCACGTGCCATAGTTGCAATCCACATCATCCAATATGCGGTCTTCTCTTAACCTCATGTAAGCTAAATTTTAAATCATTTATGACTTGCAATCATTATACTTCCCGCGCTCAATGAATGTTGTAAGGGGGTATACTTTACTGGTTTGAGACTGTCCGACCGTCTGAGTGTCTGACCGTCTTTGTGCGCTTCTTCTCTAAAACACAAATCAACCAATTTCAATTAAACTTGACAGGAATAATTGTCATGATGTTTTCTTGTGCATGTCGTAAAGAACCTTGACCCATAAATGACATTGACCTTTACGATAAATTCCTTTAATTTTGCTGAAATTGACTGTAATTGGCTATAACTTTCATATATATTGATGTATTGTTTTCATACTTGGATATAAAAACACTTTAAACAATACCTTTTAGTAAGTAAATCTCAACTTGCTTTTGACAGTTGTTTGACCTTGGTAAGATTTTTGGATTTTGCTAAAAAGTGCCATAATTTCTTTATTTATTGATGGATTTGATTCATACATGGACAAAATGGCATCTAGCATAAGACCGCCATGTTGAGCAAATGAAGTCCGACTGAGTGACCTTTTCTTTAAAATGACCTTGACCTTTTTGGTAAAACATGTATTGTGAATTTTGCTGAAATTGACACTAATTTTGTTACTTTTAGGCTGATTTTTTTCAAAATTGTACAAAGTTGCACAAAACAGTCTTTGGTTTAAAATTGTCATGTTGAGCTACTCAAGTTTTACCATAACCTCATATTGACCCATATTTTGGCAAAAATTGGCCATAAAGCTTGTGATCGATCAACTGATTTGATTCATAACGGGACAAAAACAGGACGCTTACAGCATGACATCGCCATGTTAAGCACATTAAAGCTGATCTTAATGTGACCTTGTCCTTAAGGTCAAATTATTGAATTTTGCTAAAATTAGCCATAAATGTTATTATTGGATTTATTGTATTCATTTTTGGGCAAAACGACTTTTACGTAAATACCTTCACGAAGGTTAAATGAATATGACTTAGTTCATAAAATAGTTAGCCATAACTATTTTTATTGGATGTATTGTATTCACTTTTGGGCATAACGACCTTTAAGTAAATACCTTCACGTAGGTTAAACTTATGGTGGCATATTTCTGCCACCAGATAACCATATAACTAACTAGTTAATTAAGAGGTTAACTAGTTACGTAACTAGTTAACCTCTTAATTAACTAGTTAGTTATGTGGTTAACTAGTTACGTAACTAGTTAATTTTTTCAATAAATAAAAGATCATAACGGGAAATAAATGCATGTTAGTGCCTACAACTGCCATCCTTTTATTATTTTACCAGCTTAATATTAAGTGATTAACTTAACCTCTAATTAACTAGTTAACTAAGAGGTTAACTTGTTGCATAACTAGTTAACCTCTTAATTAACTAGTTAATTAAGAGGTTAACTAGTTACGTAACTAGTTAACCTCTTAATTAACTAGTTAGTTATATGGTTATCTGGTGGCAGAAATATGCCACCATACAATATGACCTTGACCTTTATGATAAAATTAATAAATTGTCTAAATTGGCCATATCTTCTTTAAATGGACGGATTTGATTAGTACTTGGACAAAGCAACACTCGCCATACACGTCATGTCTAGCAAGTAAAGGTATGACCTTGAACTTTTAATGACCACAGCTAATGCTAAGTCATTGAACTTTGCTATATTAGCCATATAATTTTTATTTATGTACTGATTTTATTTATAATTGGACTTACCAATTCAATTAACCTTTAAATGACATTGACCTTTAAAGAGAATATCATTTTGTCTGAAATTGGCCAAACCTTTGTTATTGATGAATGAATTTGATTCATATTTGGACATAACAATGCTTTGGAAAAAAAATCCTTATGTGATACAAGTCGAATATAACCTTGACCTTTAATGGCTAAAGTCGCGAGAGCTCTTATACTTTTTTTCATCACTCTGTTGAACGTAATCAAACTGCAACTTTTACCCTTATATAAATGTTTCTATTGATTTCGAGGAATATTCCCCCTTTCCATAAAATGTAGTTATAGTAATAATAGATAAAATAGTAAAAGTAATGGTCATGTGGAAATACATTTGACCTTAAAATGACCTTGTCCTAACAATAAAACTAAAGGTCAAATATTTGAATGTTTCAAGATAGCGTCGAGTTTAGTATGGTTATAAGCTATTGGTAGGTCTGTATGTGATTTTAGAGAAAATCAAATCAAACGAAACTCATGTTGAAAGGTTATAGGATTCAAGCTTAAAGAAATTAACAAAGAACACTTGTCTCGAAACAGCTGGTAATGAAGAGATCAAAATTGCGAAGTTTAAAATTGTTCTCAGCTAAAGAAAGAAATGCTTTTTACAAAACAGTTTCTATAATTTAACATCTAAATACAAGTATGCAAATATTGGTGAAATGAAATGAATATTTCATGCTTACAACCAAATTCCCCTATGCCCTGATACAAAACATTAATTTTAAAATTCTGAGAAACCATATCGTTAAATGCTGTGTAATTTTAGTCCGCCATATCCGAATGGTCCGACCATTGATTATTCCACTCTAATCGAAATCAATGCTATCTTGAAACATTTAAAGTTCCTAATCAAGGAATATGTTCAAAATTGACAGACGAATTATGACCAGTTCTGTACTTTTAAATATTAACATGGACAAAAATTTCAGTCAGTCTTTACTTCTTCCAAAATATTAGGATTGTGTTAACTTTAAAACAAAATATTCTCTCACCTCTTTATTGATTAAGACATAATTATAATGCTCAAATATGTTTTCTTTTTCAAATACTGATAATTGCTATACAGTCTTTATATAGTTAACACTACGTTTAAACAGTAGGAAATTATATAGTGTAATTTAAAAAACAAAAAATAATACAAAAAACTGGCAATTTCTTTTAAGAAAGGTACAAAGTTACATCACAGTATAAAAACAAGACAACTTCCTGTTTGAGCATCAAGGTTAAATTATTGAAATTTGCTAAAATTGTCAAAAAAGGATCATTATTTTATTTAGTATTTACAGATTTCATTAATACTTGGATAAAAGAACACGAATGACAAAACCAACTTTTGAATTATTTTGATATGACCTTGACCTTTAATTGACCTTAACCGTCAAGGTCAAATTTTTGAAATTTGCTTATATAGCTTTAATAACTTATCTATTTATTTATCATTTTATAGATTTAATTCATACTTGGACAAAAGAACACATGTGACAATATTAATATGATGATTAATTTAAATGTGACCTTGACCTTTGAATGACCTTGACTAGCAATGTGATTTGTTTTACAGGTTTGTCAATGGCAGTTGGGATTGTAATATTCGGAGTGAAAGCACATGACGAGTGGAATATAGAGTTAGAGAAGGGCCTGCACGGAAGCTTCGGATGGTCGTTCTGGGTGGGCATAGGGGCCACGGCTCTAGCTTTCTTGACCTCTTGTATATATTGCTGCATAGGCAGAAAACGTTACTGATGAGGAGGAAAGACGTCAGAAAGAAACTGATGATTACAAAATAAACATTAATGACGTCATCAATTTCGTTATGTAGAAACGGATGACGGCAGTACAATATTAAAGATGACTGTCATATGTTCTCAAAATATAGTTTATGAATCAGTTAAGCGCATGAACATTTTTTTCTTCATATATTTATATAATGAAAAGTGATTTTTTTTATGTTATGGTCAGTTCATTTCAATCGTTAATAATCAGTGCAGCCTTTATAAACAAAAGTACTCATGCAACAATGTTATTAAAAGACTATATATCCTGCAATTGCGATCAATAAAGAGATTAATATCTCTCTGCAATCGATCACAATAGTGCAGCCTTAAATATTATAACCTATACATGCGCTCCATTTATCGCCGTTGCAGGTGTTAGTTTTTCTAGTCAATCTTCCATGCAGTTTCGCACTTTATCTCTTTCGTAACTTGCTGCTTAAACTCGATCTAGTTCGTTAATTTCGGCTTGCACAGCCGCAGTGGAGTGTTTTTCCATCATGTTTTTCCAAAATCTCCTTTGGCGTTATTTAGTAAGTTTCTAGGTGCTAGCATAATTGTTTCATTGTTTAGTAACGTATTTCTTACGTTTCAAAAAAACAACGTTCCTAAAACTTCTTGCGTATTATGAAAACACTAAACTTTTGTTTTTTCAAGTTCGTGCGAATCAAAAAAATGTGTTTTAATTAGAAACCTAACACGTGGTTTTCAGGGTTTTAATTTTATTTTCATTTGATATAACCGGTAAATATAAAGTTATTATTTGAAGAAGAAAAAAGAAAGGATGAAATGTACCAGGCATATTTCAACCATAAGATATTGGCGTTCAATAGAATAAATATTAAGCCTGACCGGACAGCTCGAACATGCCAGCTGTTTCAGCTTTATTGTTATAAAGTATTTAAGACGGCTGCTATCTAAAATGGACTGACCACCATTTTGCTTCCTTATTCTATATGTATTTTTTATGATATTTGCTTTCTTTATGTTTAAGCTCACCAGAGCACAGCTTGCTCAATTTGAGCTTTTGTGATCTCACACCGTCCGGCGTCCGCCTGTCATTCCGTTCAAATTTCTTCAAACAGCATGTCCTTCTCAACCACTGAAGCAATTGCTCAAAGCTGTCTTGTTCTGATCCATGGTTGCTTTTTGTTGAAATTGTTCAAAGAAATCATTCCAAGCAGAACACTGGTTGTCATGACATACAAAAACAATCTTCTCCGACATTGCATGGATAGAGCTAAGATTTCTGGTATTGTCTAGTGGACCTCTACCAAGAATGCGCAATACAAAATAATACCACTTAGGCTACTATTAGCCAAATCCTAGTGGATTTTCCCTACATATGATATAATGAAACTTAAAAATCTTCTTCTCTGAAACCACAAAGCACATGTCCTTCTGAACCACTGAAGCAATTGCCCAAAGCTGTCTTGTTCTGATCCATGGTTGCTTTTTGTTGAAATTGTTCAAAGAAATCATTCCAAGCAGAACACTGGTTGTCATGATACACAAAAACAATTTTCTCCAAAATTGCACGGATAGAGCTTAGATTTCTGTCATTGTCTAGTGGACCTCTACCAAGAATGCACAATACAAAAAATACCCCTTGGGCTACTATTAGCCAAATCCTAGTGGGTTTTCTTTACATAAGATTTAGTGAAACTTAAAAATCTTCTTCTCTGAAACCACAAAGCGCAGGACAAAGATATTAAGCATGGAGCATTGTCTAGTGCACCTCTACCAAGGTTGTTCAAATTACAGCCCTATGGCAAAAATGTCCTTGAAGCTTGGAAATTTGAACTGTTCGCACAGTTTCAGAAGCAGACATAAATTTTGACATCAGTTGGCCTAGATTTTAATCCTGTGATCTACTTTCTTCTTTGATAGCTATAAACATTTAGTAAACATGTACATACTTAGTTTAACATACCAAAGTATCCAGAACTACAGCTATAAAGTTTGGACTCTTTGCAGTGTCAGATCACCTAGATTAAGATAATTGTGACCTACTTTTTGACTTTCTGATCTCTGAACATTGAATGTTAGACTATATACACAATTTATCATACTAACAGTTGACCTACATTTTGACCCAGTGACCTATTTTTTGTATGTTTAAGTTATCGGAAAGACAACTTGTTCTGTAGAGCTACAGTTATGAAATTTGGACCAATGTTAAAATATACTTTGAAAAACTTCTATAAACTTTGGTGAGCGATATAGGGTTAACTCGACTCTCTTGTTTACGTTATTCTGTATACAGCAAGCATACAGTTGTTGTTTTAATGTTGTACAATATTTATGATTCGTGTTATAGGGCCTATATGATTGTTTCGAAAACTGTTTTATATGCTAGTATGTAATCATATTACACGTATTTGCTACAGCTTTTATGTCAACATCATATGTATGAAATTGTGTTTTATACTATACCTTTCGATATGAATCTAGGGCATTTGCGCTCCAGGACACCCCCCCCCCCTCGTCTAAAATTGCATCATTTGACAATTTCTCCCCGAGCGGAAATGTATAGATAGGTACTTGACACACCTCAACCCCCTCGATCCCCCCGGCACCAGCTAGTTTGGAATTTTGCTAAATCTTTGTCTAATGCAGTTTTAGGCTTATGTTTCAATACAAATGCAACAATTAAATTTAAATGCATAATTCTTGAAATACATGATGATTTAAACATAAGCTTAAGAGTGCATTTGATATACATCTTGCAAATGACCACTGGGAAAGGGGGTGGAGGCAAATTTTCGCCTTTCCATTTGCACTGTAAAGGGTGGTACAAATTGTAAAGTAGGGGTAAATGTCCTGGTGGCAAATGTCTGTTTACCTTTGGATACATTGCCAGTTATAAGTCGCATTCTCATAACAACTGTATACATGATTAATATAAATGCGAAACTTTTTTCAGTTTGAATTCTATAAGGCAACATCTTGCATAACAAGTGATAATTTACCCGGCGGCCATTGTTTTAAGAGGATATTTTCAAAAGGAAATAGCTTGAGATTTCTTTATTATTCTTGGCCTATCAGTCGAGGGAAATCGCTTGAGGTTTCTTTTCTGTTCTCGACCTATTAGTAGAGGGAAATAGCTTTAGGTTTCTTTTCTATTTTTGGCCTATTAGTGAGGAAAATCGCTTGAGGTTTCTTTTCTGTTCTCGACCTATTAGTAGAGGGAAATCGCTTGAGGTTTCTTTTCTATTATTGGCCTATCAGTAAAGGGAAATCGCTTGAGTTTTGGCCTAATATATAGTAGAGGGAAATCGCTTGAGGTTTCTTTATTATTTTTGGCCTAAAAGTAGAGGGAAAGCGCTTGAGGTTTCTTTACTAGTCTCGGCCTATCAGCTTGTACAAGAATTTACATACAATTAACTCGGGAATACATTGTATATTGCTGAACACCTCTAAAATATATTTAATCATTTTAGCATCCCTTTATTTGTATATAAGATGTTCATTTAATGTGTATATGTTACATACAAATGTTTTGCTAAAGTTGTAATAAAATTCCAAATGTTTGAAATGCCTTAGCATCATAACATAAATTTAAAGGATATACAGCTTTATATACATGTATATAAAGAAATGTTTTTAGGCTTTTTTATATACAATTTATAGATAGTAAAATTTATTTGTTTCCTTATCTATAATCTTGAGTGTCATAACGTCATTTTAATACTGCTTAAATTTACCAAGTGAAATATTTTAATGTTAATAAATCATGTTAGCTTAAATGAAATTCCTTTTTTCCCCGAAAAAAATATAAATTATATCATTCTGCGTATGTAAATTAGCTTTGAGCTTATTTCTTCTATAGATATACTGTAAAAGACTCTGTGTTTATGCCGGTAGTTCAGACAACGTATATGAAACATTTTAAAGAACAACAATTACAATCAAAGCTTCTTATCATTAAATTTTGATAAGCTTTATTCTAGTCATTAAACATTTTCGACACCATGATTGTATGAATGTATGAAAATTGTGTCCGATTCAAAATGTACGAAAAGAGGCGTTTCCAAATCGTCCACGTGACATTGTCATTCATGAGTATTTTTTACATTTTTTTTACCTTAGAAAAATTCAAATTAATGATGGAGAACCATTTTCATGTCATTTGTACAATTAACTACCTCTCCCTGTAGAATTGCGTGCTTTCATTATGTCCAAAAATAATTGATTGCAGCTATGCATTCAGACAAGGTTCTATACTGTTGGTAGTTCTATTTTTGTATTTTGATATTGAAATCCGTTAAAGGAACTCCACTGAGGTCAAAATGCCTGAAAACATAAAATTCGAAAGTCTTAAAAATATCAAGTGAATCTCTTAAATGGAAAACTCCGCAAAGGATAACAAAGAAATATACTAAGAATTAAATTGAAAGTCTTTTTTGATTCGATCTTTAGCCAGATTCCAGTGAAAAGCGTTGCAACGCTTTTATTCTTAGGTCGTTTTGCACAAGAAAAATATTTTTTCATGACAAACGGGGTGATGGAATGTCCTGAAATTTTTTACACAAGTTGATGGTCTAGACTTTCATCAATTTGTAAACAAATCTCGGAATAATATTCCCGGTAATGTCATGTCAACAAACCTAGTGGAGTCCCTTTAAACTTTGCATGGACTGTTCCAAACTCAATTCAGGGCAAATCCATTACACAAATTCAACAGGTCAATTGTTAATGTTGGTTTTTATGACTTTTTATGGTTTTAGTAATCTCCCTTTACAAATGGTTACAATTGTTTAAGTTGCTGTGCACCGTGAACGCTGCTTCCTTTTCTCGTACTTTTAATCGCATATTGTTAAAGAGGCCTACACTTTATTATAGCATTATTTATCTGGTGCCTTTCGTTTTGGTCCTTTCTTGTCACGTGCAATGTTTTTCGTCACGTGCAACGGTTCTTGTCACGTGCAATGTTCGAGTCTCGTAAAGCTGTTAATTCAGGTGAAGATAGAAAATAAAGCCTAGTAAGTGTTAACAACATTATACAAGTAATATCTACCAAATGTATTGTATTTTCAACCAAATTGACATGCGGCATCACGGCGGATTAAGCCTCAGAAACGAATTTATAGTTTCCTTTCTTTAGAAAATTCAAGCATGTGTTCCATTGTTATGATGTTTAAATAATGGATTTACAGCATGTTAGATGTTGAACACTTTAAGAAAGTAGCACTGACATTTAAATAAGTTGTCATAAAAGTAAAAAAATTAGTAAACAGTATGCTTACTTCAATGCAAAAAGAAAATTAAATCGCTGTAACTTAAACTGTCAAAAAGCAACATAAGCAAAATATTGTTTTACCATGTGAAAATAACAATGAAGGCATTTCTGGGGCTTAATTGGGCGTTGATGGTTAAACATCGATCATACGCATGTAATATGCGTACTTCTTAGTCAAGATAACTGTGTGTTACTATTTTATTTACAATGTCAATTCAATTCAGAGCTTTCTAAACAAGTAAACATCGTCACGTGTTTCTTGTCGATGGAATACCTGTATAATTACATGTTTCTACATATAATAACAAGCTTGTGTAAATCCTCATTACGACATAAAGGCAGGTGTAAACTTATTATAGGAAAATATGTATATAGCGTGAGAGAAAATAAATAATTATACAACTCATTATCTTTCTTGTCATTTACGTCATTCGTCGTGGTTGTTCAAAATACAAATGTTAAGGGAAGTAACTAGTATAATTACCTTGATTATTTTTTAATTTTAGTTATCTCCCTTTACAAATTGAATCGCCGTCTGACGTCATCTGCGTGAGTTGTCCCATGTAACAAAATTTTGCAATTGGTTCCGGTCGGTTGCACAACTAGGTCACGGAAAAAAACAATTTAAAATTGAATGCCAATTTCAAAACAAGGCCAGAACTTGTATATAGGGTATGTAACATCGAGGTCCTCTACCCAAGTTGTTTGAAATTGGGTTAAAATTGACCCGCCCGGTTGTCAGGTTTTCTTTACACGTGTAAAATAAAAAAATGAAGATAACAATTCTTCTCTGCAATTCCAAAGTCTAAAGCTTGGATACTGGTATAAAACATGGTCTAGTGGACCTTTACCAGACTATGCCTTTAGACGTTAAAATTGACATCGTCCTAGGGTTCATTATTTTTACATGGATATGTGTAAGGGGAAATTATTGTTTGTAAAAATGCATAAGGCCCAAGATTTCTAAGTTTCGTATGTAGCATAATATTTAATCGAATCATATATAACTCACCATTCTTTCAGTAATATTTGTACCTATCGGTGTCTACACTGTACCACTTCAAAATAGAAAATACTTTTCTTTTTAAGCTGATTATTTTGTCCACCTCATACAATTAGAATAACATTTAAATCTATCTAAATATGGGCCCGATATCGAATTCAACGATGATACAATCGCAACTTTTCAGTCCTTTCCGTCAGTCTTCGGATAAAGACTTTTATGGATAATAGCCGATGTCATCCCGATTGTCGATGATAATGTAATAGACCAACCGGAAGTCTCATTTTGTGTGATTTCTATCAGTCTACGATTGGCAATCTATTATATGAGTACTGTTACATGGGAACGCGAAATAGATTAACACCAGCGCATTTTAATGCTGCAATTTCATTAAAAGGTATACATAATTTTACAAAGTCGTCGAATATAGTCAAGACTAGCAATTTATCATAAAATTAATAGTAAAAATGTACGTATTTCACACACAGGTGGCATCCTGTCCTAAATATTTGCATGTACAGTTTTTTCCGTCAACAATTTTCCAATGATTCCATGGAATGACACTCTCATCGGGACCGCGACAATTTGGACCTGAAATCATGGAACTATATCACATTTTGCCTCTGTGTGAATATTTATATTATTTACTTAGCATTCCGTTATTTTGATTTGCTTTAGCAACATGCGCGGATCTAAGGGAGGATGGGGTACGGCAAAGGGGTACGGCTCATTGAATGTTCAGAAAATATGTATTTGATGGTATAAAACATTTATCCTAAGTCTTAATGAATTCTAAGTCCATTCCCATTACACTATATACTAATATATAGACAAGGGTAACAACTCCCATAAGAAGGTGTCTATGCCCAATCAGGGTTTTTGCCTCGCAGTTTTTTACACGATACAGCATTTCAACGTACGCTTTTTAACGAAAAGAGACCCCAAAAAGCTTGTGAAATTATGACTCGTGACCCTATGGAAACTAAGTAAAATATCAACACCATTGCCATTTGTTGAATTTTTACGACGACTAACACACCGACTATGTACACGGCCACAACAACAACTACAAAAAAGACGACTATGCCGACGACGAACACTATAACAATGTCTACAACTATTTTTCGTGTGAAGGTTCGGCAATGGCACGAACGACTTAAACGGTTTTAACCACGAATACGACTAGTACGACTTTATAACTACGAGTAAAGCTAAGACGACGACGATTACCACTATTACAAAAACTAAGTTTAAACATATTTTATTCCTTTCAATTTTAATATGTACAATGCAAATATATAGAAAGAAAAATATATAAATACATTTTGAAAGAAAAATGGTTGAACCACAAGTTCAAATAACATTAGCAAATCGGTCCGTCCCTAAAACTTATACGAATACGGCCACGACAACAACCCCGACTACAACTTTTGCGACTACGCCGATGACTACGGCCATGTTTTCGACCATGCAGGACTACTACTTTTGCGACTTCGCCGATAACAACGACCTTGATTTCGGTCAAGCAGGACTACGGTCATGATTTCGACGATGCAGGACTACGACGTTTGCGACTTCGCCGATAACTATGGCCATGATTTTGACAATGCAGGACTTTGACTTTTGCGACTTCGCGGATGACAAAGGCAATGTGTTCGATCATGCAGGACTATGACTGTTGCGACTTCGCCAATGACTACAGCCATGATATCGACCATGCAGGACACAACTTTTGCGACTTCGCCGATGTCTACGGTCATGTTTTCGAGCATGCAGAAATACGACTGTTGCGGCTATGCCGATGACTACGGCCATGATTTAGACTACGATAACTAGTACGACTACAAATGTTACGATTACAAATACTGCTACAACCACAGCAGTGATGACGATTCAGACCGCCAATATAAGTTCTACAATTTTTCTTACTACGAATTCAGCCACGACGACGACTACAATTACAACTTCTACGACCAGACCACGAATTTGACAAGAAGACCTGCAAAAAATACCACGCACAAGACTTTAACGACTATGCTGATGAGTACGTTCATGAATTCGACGACTTAGACTATTACAACTACGACTTTCAAGACCACAAGTACGGCTATTATCAAGACCATAGCTTCGTCCACTAATAAGAATTCGACGATTTCTTATACAGATAGGATTTTGACGACTTACTATGACTTCAAAAATGTAGACTTTTCGGCTCTGATCATAACTACATGTATTACAACTATTTATACCACAACTTCACCGATTACGACCACGACTACTTCAACTTTTACGACCACAACTCCCTTGATTACGACCACACTTACGACTACTTAGATTACGAGTACGAGTAAGATTTTTACGATTTTACGAACGGTGAAACGACTACATTTACAGCTAGACAACAAGGACTTCGGCGGATTCTTTTACGACCACTACCACTGCGAGTGCGACTACGAACAGGACTTATACGACCACGACTACGTGGACGTCCATTACTATGACTTTAACAATTACAAGTACAGATTGGCTGCAAGAAAGCATTTGTCTGCACTAAAACAGACTTTAAACTGGATGTTGCCATTCATGATGTGCATAAAACTTTGCAACAGATTGCACTTGCATGGTCTTCAGAAATTAAGCATGTTCAAGGTAAATTTTCTTATTGTTATCATTTTTATTTTTGTTTATAATAGTCCTTTAAACATAAACCTGGAAGTGTACTTTCAAATGGTTCATCATTTTACATTGTGAGCTTTGTTGTTATATGAATTTGACCTACTTTCACTTTGGACCCACGTAGTGAAAACAAACATGGCTGACAAAGCGGAATCACCTTAAATAAAGCATATTATCTAGAAGATCGCGGTAAACAGCTTTTGTTATAATTTCTAATATACCAGAAAGTAAGGTAAAGAAAAAGAAAATAGATATTACCATGGGGACAGTAAACGCAGCAATCCGTGGGCTTGTACCTTGCAGGATCTACACATGCTGGTGGTGGACACGGGGGAGGAACACATAATGTCTCGTTGCCAACCGTGCATGGAAACGGACAATAGTGAGCTGTTACATTCTTTGTACTCACAGTCGGTAAAGCTCCGTTTTCTGCTCCAATACCAGAAAAGTGTGACGAAAAAATAACAAAGATGAAGAACACTATTACACAAGTGAAATATTTTTCCATAGTTTCAGTGAAAGGTATTTATCTTCAAGGTTCCTAACGTTGGCGGCATAAAAGATAAGAAAGCCTACAGATAACAGCGTGTACATATTCCAAATGCATTATCATTTACAGTTAGCTCGGCGCCACTTATCGAAACATAATTCATATTGCTTTAGTTACGAAATAATTGCTTTTGACGTTTTCCTTACAGCTGCTGCTGTTGTTGTTGATGATGATGTTGATAATGATGATGATGATGATGATGATGGTGATGGTGGTGGTGGTGATGATGATGATGGTGGTGGCGGTGACTTCTAACACTAACCCTGACCTTAAACTTACCCTAAAGCGTTCTTAAACCTAGACTAAACCTAATTATAAAAATGCCTATACAATCTTAGGTTCTTAAACTTAAAATGACTCTAGAAGGGAAGGTTAAAGTTCCGAGGTAGCACTTAAATTTCTACCTTAACCTCACTTTGCATTGGTTAAGCTGACACATTGACCTCGCCAGGTTGGGTAAACCGGAGCACACACAGAGACGCACAAACACACACACATATAGAACAGTACCACTGTCATAGAAAGAACAAGACTATGTGACATGAGGATTTATAAAACTGATTCTATGAAAGCTGGCAGTACAAATGCCAATTGCTTATTGTCAATGCAGTATGACGATTCTGTATATCATTCCGTTTTTTAAATACAGATAAATAAAAACAATAAATATGGTAGTCTGTGAATAACATTTTTATTTATTGAAACACTTCATGAATTTCAAACACAGATGGCATCCTGTGTTATATATTTGCAAGTACAATTTTTCCCGTCAATGATTTTCCAGTGGTTGTATCGAATAATATGCTGGTCAGGGCCTCGGCAATCAGGGCCTAATTCAAATAAATAAATGTATATTAATCTTTCAAATCTAATGAAAAGCATTATTTAAGTTGCATATTTATGTTAAGTGCTGTGTCAAGCATTGCTCGGAAACATTGCTCGACAGGGATCGAGCATGTACGAGGGTTGTTTCAATATTATGTATTAAGTATTCTACGATATCTTAAAAGCATATGACTCAAATAGTCAAAAGAAAATTACATCCCTTTAAGATATTCTACGAGGTTTGAAATACATAATTTTTGTTTCTGAATTCATAAATGAACTGCGACACGGTACGCTAATTTAGGAAGACAACTGAGGCACTGACTGACGGCTGAGCCAAGGGTATCTCCTGACAATAATATTATCGACGACAAAATAAGAACTTTTAAGAAACTTCTTTGGAAAGAAAACAAAACAAACGCATGGGTTTTTTCTGGAGAGAATGGTGAGTGTGGCAAGACGGCAACCTTTCTCTGACTTAATTAACAAGTTCAGTTGTATATGATGGAGCATTATCATGAAGTTGGCGAACATGCCTAAATCCTGACACAAGGCGTCGTTTCTGGTTATATTCCTTGTGTGGTTTTAGTATGACATCTCGTTAATACCCAACGTCAAATACCCCAGGCCGAACCATAAGGGGAGCGGTGGCTTAGTGGTTAAGATGTCTGCCTCTCAACCCAGGGATAATGGGATCACGACAATGTTTCTTCATATAACACTAGTACTGCATGGGTTAGTGGTTATGGTTGGTTCCAGAAAGCGGACTCGAAAATGATTCATATAAGTTGCAAGAACTTGTTTCGCAATCGAGCATAAATAAATGTGTTTAAACCAAATAACCGTTAGTTAACATTTATCAGTTATGTTACATGTTAATCACACAGTGGGTATCCGACTATGGGTAATACCGACGATGGGTAATTTACCGACGATTAGTTATGCCGATGAGTTATGCCAACGAAATTTTACGGCTATACCATCACATGAGAAGAATGTACAAGAAAGGACCATATATTTGTGCTGATGGCTCTTTTACCAACTACAGACCTTCTACAGTGTTTGGTAAGCCATTTTTCCAAAGGATTTGTGACTAGTTCGAAATAGTGGACCCACGTTTCGTCACTAGTAACAATGTTTGCAAATTGCCTTTGATTGAAGTTTTGAAACATATTGAGCAATTGCTTAGCGGGCTATACTCATATTCTTTTCTTTGATCATATGCCAATATAAGGGATATTGATCTGGCAGAAATCTTTCCTTTTCCTTTCAAAATACACCTTAAATAGTGAGAACCCGCGAAAGCGATAAGAACATATTTCATATTTCCCTGACTTCAGAGACATTTATCTTGCCTGTTACAGTCACAAATCGACCAGATTCGCGGACTCTGTGCCAGTCAGACCTACGAACTTTCTCGTAAGATACCTTATCAGACCGAGAACCTTCCCCCAATTTTAGTAAAATCTACTCTACCGAATGACGGAGTTGTTGAAATGAGCTATTCAGCAGGCTTATTTATCCACGAATTCACATCCGTGAAATCGTGCAAATGTAATTGCGCTGTGGTACGATTCACATTAAACAACGAACAACCCTCCATCAATGAAAGCGAATGTTTATTAGTAAGCTTTTACAAAGTTGAATGTAGTAAATGCTTATTAATGAGCACTAACCAGTTTTGTGTTTGAAACTATTTTTATAATCAGTCGATTTACAAGACTGATTAAAAGTTCGCCGGTTTACTAAAATAAATGTGTTACGATTCATTTGAAAAATACTGCAATCTTATTAGACAAAACAATAACATTAAGTAATCTTACTTACAAATTTTATAACCATATCAAAAGAAAGTCTAATTTAACCTCAACAGACTCGCCATATTGCAAAAACATCTCTTATTGTGTTTCCGTTGATATAAAAATAAAAATTAAAACTTACCATGGGGACAGTATTCGCAGCAATCTGTCGGCTGATACTTTGCAGGATCCACGCATGGCGGCGGAGGACACGGGGGTGGATAACATAATGTCGCGTTGCCAGCTGTACATGGAAACGGACAATAGTGCGCTGTCACATTCTTTGTACTTACTGTCGGTATATCTATTTTCTCCTTGCCATATATAGGCGATGACAAAATAGCGAAAAAGCCGAACACAAGCGTATTTATTAAATGTTTCACCATCCCTTTAGTGTAAATTAAAGGACTGTTTACGACGTAAAAACATTTATGATAAGATAGTCACGATAAATTACTGATTTTAAATTAAGTTGTAGAAAGCTACTGTCAAAACTAGGTCAAAACTTGTCAACGCCATTGAACAATATTAGCTGTACTATATAATAATAAAGAGCTTGTTTTATTTGGTTGTTTCTTTCTTTTCTTCCTTGTTTGTTTGCATTTTGTCTTTTCGTAAACAAAGTAGCCCACCTTATTCGTGCCGTTCACCCACTCAATAAATGACAATGTCCTTTTTGAAAAAAATTAGTACGTGCCAAAAAAACATTTTTAAACAGTCGCAATATCATTAATAACATGAAGAGTAGTTCTTCACCTAGCCTACTAATATCCATCTAATTTTGTCCGTACGGTCAAGCATTGGCATTGTCTCTACACTGATGGAAACAAAAGTGGTCGGTTTTTGCCAACATTATAGAGTCAAACAAGCCTTCATTTCCACTTTATCTACCAATGACAATGTCTTTACAATTTAGTTCAAAATGGTAGGTCAAGGTATGTATGACATTGGAAGGTCAAGGTATATTATTATGACATTGGAAGGTCAAGGTATATTATTATGACATTGGAAGGTCAAGGTATATTATTATGACATTGGAAGGTCAAGGTATATTATTATGACATTGGAAGGTCAATGTATATATGACATTGGAAGGTCAAGGTATATTATTATGACATTGGAAGGTCAAGGTATATATGACATTGGAAGGTCAAGGTATATATGACATTGGAAGGTCAATGTATATATGACATTGGAAGGTCAAGGTATATTATTATGACATTGGAAGGTCAAGGTATATATGACATTGGAAGGTCAATGTATATATGACATTGGAAGGTCAAGGTATGTATGACATTGGAAGGTCAAGGTATATTATTATGACATTGGAAGGTCAAGGTATATTATTATGACATTGGAAGGTCAAGGTATATTATTATGACATTGGAAGGTCAAGGTATATTATTATGACATTGGAAGGTCAAGGTATATTATTATGACATTGGAAGGTCAAGGTATATTATTATGACATTGGAAGGTCAAGGTATATTATTATGACATTGGAAGGTCAAGGTATATATGACATTGGAAGGTCAAGGTATATTATTATGACATTGGACGGTCAAGGTATATTATTATGACATTGGAAGGTCAAGGTATATTATTATGACATTGGAAGGTCAATGTATATATGACATTGGAAGGTCAAGGTATATTATTATGACATTGGAAGGTCAAGGTATATTATTATGACATTGGAAGGTCAAGGTATATTATTATGACATTGGAAGGTCAAGGTATATTATTATGACATTGGAAGGTCAATGTATATAAGTAAAGAAGGAAAAGCGTCACAAGCCAATCAAGGAGTAACTCCTATTTTGGAAGCCCTGTTAAAAGGCATTTTAATTCTTCGCCTACTGGCGGCAACGTACAAGTGCAGACCAAGATCTGACAGCACATCAATTCAATCTGTTCATGGTCTGTACTGTCGGTACATACATGTATTTTCAGATTTTCGCTAACAGTAATGACTAGTTTTGTTCTGATTGAAATATGTCCATGATCGCACTGTTCGCTTATTCAGTCAGTACGTATTTTCAGATTTTCGCTAAAGGTAATGGATAGTTTTGTGCTGAGTTTAATATGTTCATGGTCTGAACTGTTCGCTATTTAGTCATTGATACGATTTTTAGATTTTCAATAAAGTAATAAATAGTTTTGTTCTGATTGAAAGATGAACACGTTCTTTTAAGATATTTAGCGTGATTATAAAAATATGTGAAACAAATAAATATTCAAGATAGATAAGTAAAAAAATATATATACGCTTTTTGTATTGAAGGCTCAATTGAAATGATGTATTATGCCATATTCATTTGTAAGTATCAATTCGTAAACACAATTCTAAAAATGCATTTTCTTGCATTATTTTCCGTAGGAAAAAGTCCATGTTTTAAAGATATGTGAACAAAAAAGAAACGGAACAAAGTTATCAGCATTGCAATGGTTTCCAGCCAAAAAAATTTCTAACATCGGCCAATATGGTAAAAAACTGGTCATTTCCGGAACTTTTTTCACAATCTTCGGTATTCAATAATTTATAACCTATATAACCTGAATTTAGAACATAACAATAAAAGGGTGATTGTAAATAATCTAATGCCCAAGATATGGAAAAAATAACGTTCCGAAAATAACCGATTTGCTACGATATTGGCTAAAGGAGACCGGTGTGTATACAATGGGCCAAAGGTATATTTTTGGCGGGAAAGCATTACAGTAAGACTGCCTTAATACGGTATATTTGATTTAAGCAATATCAACTTTCTTTTACCAAAATGTTTTGCCTAGCGATGACAATTATTTATCTGGTTCTTGTTGAAGTTGCTGTTGTTGTTTATTATACGTAAATTAACATTATGTGTTTTTCTCTGTTTATTTTTCTAAAGAAAACTAAAATCCAAACTATATGAATATACTTTATTTCAGAATGTTATTTCATCCAAGAACGGGATAAACGTGTACGCTGCCACCATATAAACCACCGTTTGAACAGTATGCAACATCTCCAGATGGTAGGGTCACGTTCTTTCCTTCAGGTATTATTTTGTCATCGTGCATACAGTTGGGACCTAATAAAGAAAATAATGATAGTTATAATCACTGTTATAAATCTATTTTAATTATATCAATATACCGGTATACCGATATACATGTACAATAAAATGAAGTGACTGTTGCAACGGGGTATAAAAAGATGCGCTTGAATAAGGGACCCTTTAAGAGTGCTAACTGCATTGTCGGGCGCCATTTCTCATTCTGTCGTGTGGCATTGTCATGATGTTACATCGAACAGTCTAGCGCACGATGAACGATATTGCAAATGGCACGAATACGATTCCGTACCTTTATTTCAAATTTGCGACAACAAAATACAATAAATACACTTACTAAAGGCAACCATATATAAGCAATATAACAGATGTGTGACTGTAAACCCAAAATGCACCCATATAAGTATAACGTTTTTTTTTCATTTTGTTATAAAGATATATTAAATTTTAATTTCACACTTTATAAAATATAACCAATAAAATGTCAGCGTTTGAACCACGTGATGTTCTTATATAAATCATTATCGGATTTTTTTTAAGACTCCATTCATTTCCAGAGTCCAAAATTTCCATATCAAATGCATATTGCACCCCGTATAGCCACGTTTTCATTTCCATAGTAATAGTTGTATCAAATTCGTATTGAACTTCATCTGGCCTTATTTTCATTTTCAGGAAAAATATTCGTATTATATCAATTTTTTATTGTTACTTTAAGTAAACAAAGTTCTCTCAAAATGTCCAAAAAGTGAACTATACATTGTTGAGAAAAATACTGACTCGTACATAGTTGTAAAACACACAGGTGTTCGGCGCGTTGGTTGGTGGTAGTGACCAATCAACGCGCCGAGTACCTGTGGTAAAGCATACATAAGACTCGGCATGCATGTGCCTCGTCCAATGTAGATTTAATAGCTGTGTTCTCGTCCAATAGAATTCAATGTCAATGTATTAACACCTCATAATATATTAAGATGCTGTAAATGAATTTATATTATGTATTGTTTATCATAGTATGTCTACATTATGTGAAAGCCTTACCATTAGGGCATTGGTAACAACAATCTCTCGGACCTTTAACACCATCGACACAAGGGATATAACATGGTAACGGATAGCAGTAATGATAGCCATGGTGAACGCACGGGTATGGGCATTCTGATGTTGTAGGATATGTCGTAGTTGTAAATTGTCGGTTACGTAATTCATGTGACGTTATTTCTGACGTCATCTTTTTGAAAAAGTGTCCACGTCTTGTCTTTTTTGCAGGATTAACTTGCGGGTGTACTGCCTTTTCCTCTCGCACTTTTAAGGTCATCGGTTCCGCTGTCGTCGGCTCCGGACATGATCCGCAGCAGTCATGGGGACCATAGACTGGATTGTCGCACGGTGGTGGAGGGCATGGAAATGCAAACGGGCAGCCATGCAGAAACCTTTTAATTCCGGTGTAATCCTTGGCACGGACGTAAGTTGGTGAGAAACAAAGAACACAGATTAAAGCACACGTGACTTTAAAGATTAATGTCCAAGACATCGTTATTTTCACAATATTCTTTAATAAAGAAAATAAATAAATGACGATATATCTACTCTTATCTATTCTATAAATAGATCTGGCAGATACATGTAGATAAACAAGAGCACTGTCTGATAATGAGTCCAATGTAAAAAATTTGAGGACTTTGACACAGAAAGAACAAAACAAGAAATCATTGGCTGATTTTAAGTTAAGTTTTCAAGACTGGGCAACGAGACTTGAATCGGACCTAAATCATGTGTACGATGAGCAAGAAATTGTAACATACATGTATTATGATTTTAACAATGCCAGAGTAAACTCAGAGAAACGCTATTTTCGAAAACATATAGATGCTGTTTGTATATGTTCTTAAAGGGACATGGTCCATTATGAAAGGTCTGCAATATCATATAAAAAGATATGTTGATAGTATTTTGCATCATACACGGAAACAAACGTCGAAAGAATTATATATGAATGCTGTTGGTAGGTTAAAGATATATTATCCGATATTATATAGGCCCTATATGTATAAAGCAGATAAAAAATTATTCCGTAAAAAATACTAGTTTTCATCATATAAATGGTCATACAAAATCGGTTTGATCTTTCTTAAGATTTTCCTTTAAAGAAATAATTTGTAAGAATATCCAAACGATACATTTCTTTTGTTTTTATCAATAGTTGAATTATTTATTGAAAATGTGCCCATTGTAGACCAATCCACTTTAAAGTTACATATTCAAAGTTTATTGACATTTTCAAATTCAAGTTAAGAAAACAGGTCTTTTTGTATTCGACTTGAAAACAGTGCCACACTTCAGTCTGTCACAAATATGATAAAATAGTTTCTCTTAAAAAATTAAATTCGTGACTAAATTTAACTCACAATGTAATTATTCAATATAACTGGTACGTTTCTCGGCGGTATCATACAAAATGCATCCAGAAAGAAGTCCCCTCCCCGTTCGGGCGCTTTTCAAACTAGGAGGTTAAGTGTTTATTATTTGACTCGTTAATTAAATCGTCCACAAGTTTCTAATCTACATGTATAATATATGTTTTTATTACGAACTGTCTTAAACTGGTGGTACCCGGCCACCAGAAGAGAAGTTTTAAAATGAATGAACGCGTTCCATGTACTAACTGTCGTCCTAACGGATATTTGAAGCTACTTCACAAATTTATTGCCTCTTGAAACTGATTTTATATCTTCTTAAATATGTGATACTTAGCTATTACATGCCATCTCAGTTCTGTGTTTACATGAACTGATCGTGTGTGAACATTTAAAGATATTTAAAGATATTTAATTTACTTTTGATAACACTTACCTATACCTGCCTTATTTATACTGGGCTTGTTTAGGTATGAATTTGCAACTATTCATTATTAATGCGAAGGTTTGGTGATTTTGGGGTCACAGTTCTTGTATAAAACATCATTGCAGACAGTGTCCATTTTAACTTATATTTAGCATATACTAACTTCAAAAGAAAAGAAAAATGGTGGCATATGACTTTTTGAAAACTTATTACAAATACTAGATATAAAGTATGAGTCATGGACTTTTTCATATTCACATTTTGTATTAATATTTTCCGCTTTCGAAATACTGGCACGAAGAAAGCTAGTTATTTGTTTCAACCTAGTAACAAAAACATTTCGTTGTACCGCCGTATAATTATAATGTTTCTCTTTATGCCTTAAGTTTTAAAACCTTACCATAAAATGTAGTCTTTCAAACAAGCTGTTTCAATTAAGCGAATTCCACCGTTGCTAGCACGGCAAAATATCGACCGGCATTTCCACCCTTTACACAGCATGGCCTCGTTTTTATATATATTCATACGCAGAAATATTTCAATTTTGTAACCTTCCGCGACTGAAAAAAATCGGGAGGGAAATTTCACGGAGTTACCACTCCTCGTTGTCTTCGTTGAAAATTGTCAAAAGTTCAAATAGCCGTGAGAGTTTACCGTTTCGTAACATATGTGTTCTTTCTTGTAATTTTAAGAACTGAAAATCTGTTAACCATCGACTTGTATCTGCACATTGGACCCTCTTGTCCAGATAAAAGGAACGCTGCGATTGGCTGAAACCGGCACGTTATCAGAAGCCGCTTTAAGTAGGTCCTGGGTTGGAGATACGACGGCACTTTATCTTTCGGGCTATCTTATCAATGTTTGCACAGGTAACTTGTCTTCATGTATTATTAGCTACTTCTATCTCTAATCTTTGTTGTTAATGCGAAAATTTATAATGTCCGCCATTTTTATTGCTTATTTGCTTAAATTCGATCTAAGTCTATTTATGGCTCTCCAAACAAGTGGCTATAATATGCAAATGAGGCGTGGTTCAAAGATCCACAATGTCAATGTAACAATTTCTCTACTTGGCATGAATACCAAATTATACCGTTACTTTTTAAACTTAGGTACGTTTTGTTTAATGCGAACTTGTTATAGAACCATCTTTGTTCCTTTTAAAATAAAAAGTTATGGTTGTGCGCAGCTACTCGGATATTACCGGTGTGCTATAGAGTTGTATATCACTAGTTCCAGAAGTGGATTTTATATGGTTGGGAACTGATAACACGGGGTAAGTGAGTGGGGTCAGGGCTGGTTACGTTTGCAGAACGCCATATCAGTGCCCGATATGGAATTTTATTAATTTTATCAGAAAGTGAATTTAGGCTATATCTGCATATAAATGAAGAGAGATAGTGACTGCTCTATGATTTATCGTTGTTTATGGCCGTCAACATGGCCCACAATATGTTTATCTTTAATTTCATTGCAGCCCTAACTGATAGAACTCCTGGCGTATGATGATAAAAACGTTATCTTTGAATGAATATTTGGGTTCTTTTAAAACCCACTTGGTGATCATTTCTCTACTACTGATACGGGGACTTTCGGACATGCAGAATTAAGTGTTAAGGACATTGCTACTTAATCTATTTTTTAAAGAATGAAAACACAGTTTTATTTGATGAAAATAATTTACTATGTGTACATGTATTAAACTCTCCGTTTCAAATTACACGTGTTCAACAACAAAAAACAATTAAATAAAAGTAATTTAATTAAAGGAAAACTGAATGCGAAGTCAATTTAATTTGAATTATAATTGGAAATACGCAATGTGCATACACCCACGGACTACTTTTTCTCACCGCCTGTCTACCTTCCGAGTGTGCAGGTAAGAGTAGCGTTTTAAAATGGCGGACTGTTTTAGGATGAAAAAATGTCCGCCATATTGGAATTAAAAAACTCTGATTATTTTATGGGCAGGAATAATAGGTTTACAAAACTTGTGAGTTTTCTTTTTCTAGAAGCCATCAGGCTTCAAATTAAAACATTAAAAGGTTGTTTTAGAATATATCAAAGGTGTTTATGGTGGCCGAATAAAGCATGTTCTTAAGGAAATACCACGTTAAAATTTCAACATAAGAATTAAAACTGCATATTTGGAGGTAAAACATTTGTTTGTTTGTTTTTTTGTCTTTTCTAAAGCCCGTTATGTAAATAAAACTATATGTTCACAAACACTTTTTTACAATGACATTTGACGTCTTATGCGTAAAACATTTCAAAATGTCTCCTTTCTGAAAAAGAAAAGACTTCGTCATTAAAATCATGATCAGTCTAATAAGATTTCAAAAACAAAATTTTTCCTCAAGAAATCATCTTCAAAAAAAAATCAAAATGCTGCTTACTTATTAAGGTGCAAAAGAATCCCAAATTATGATTTCAAATTAAGCGTTTTTGAGGGCTTGTGAAAAATTGAGGGCTTTTTTTTTTTTTCATAATATAAATATCTCGGATGTTATACATTCATCTCTTCTCCACTTGTATGATATAAGTCCACGATGGACCCTACGTCATGCAAGGCAATTGTTCCTTTTTTTCTTTTTGGGCTGTTTTTTTTTTTTTTTTAAAGATATAGGAACGAGATTTTGATCACTGTCACGTGCTTTTTAGCATCGCAATATACAAATGCACATAAAACTTCAAACATTTAGTATTGCAATATACATAGAACTGCTAACATTTAGCACTGCAATATACATAAAGCTGTTAACATTTAGCATTGCAATACGCATATAATGCTTACATTTGGCATTGCAATATACATAGAACTGCAAATATTTGGCATTGCAATATACATAGAACTGCTAACATTTTGCACTGCAATATACATAAAGCTGCTAACATTTAGCATTGTAATATACATAATATTATATTGCTTACATCTAGCATTGCAATATACATAGAAGTGCTAACATTTGGCATTGCAATAAACATAGAACTGCTAACATTTAGCATTGCAATATACATAGAACTACTAACATTTAGCACTGCAATATACATAAAGCTGCTAACATTTAGTATTGTAATATACATATAATGCTTACATTTAGCATTGCAGTACACATAGAACTGCTAACATTTAGCATTGCAATATACATAGAACTGCTAACATTTAGCAATGCAATATACATAGAACTGCTAACATTTAGCATTGCAATATACATAGAACTGTATATTGCAATGCTAAATGTTAGCACTTCTATGTATATTGTAATGCTAAATGTTAGCACTTCTATGTATATTGCAATGCTAAATGTTAGCACTTCTATGTATATTGTAATGCTAAATGTTAGCAGTTCTATGTATATTGTAATGCTAAATGTTAGCACTTCTATGTATATTGTAATGCTAAATGTTAGCAGTTCTATGTATATTGTAATGCTAAATGTTAGCACTTCTATGTATATTGTAATGCTAAATGTTAGCAGTTCTATGTATATTGTAATGCTAAATGTTAGCACTTCTATGTATATTGTAATGCTAAATGTTAGCACTTCTATGTATATTGTAATGCTAAATGTTAGCACTTCTATGTATATTGTAATGCTAAATGTTAGCAGTTCTATGTATATTGTAATGCTAAATGTTAGCAGTTCTATGTATATTGTAATGCTAAATGTTAGCAGTTCTATGTATATTGCAATGCTAAATGTTAGCAGTTCTATGTATATTGCATTGCTAAATGTTAGCAGTTCTATGTTTATTGCAATGCTAATGCTAACATTTAGCATTACAATATACATAGAACTGCATTACAATATACATAGAACTGCTAACATTTAGCATTACAATATACATAGAAGTGCTAACATTTAGCATTACAATATACATAGAACTGCTAACATTTAGCATTACAATATACATAGAACTGCTAACATTTAGCATTACAATATATATAGAAGTGCTAACATTTAGCATTACAATATACATAGAAGTGCTAACATTTAGCATTACAATATACATAGAAGTGCTAACATTTAGCATTACAATATACATAGAACTGCTAACATTTAGCATTACAATATACATAGAAGTACAAACATAGATATCATCATAATAAACATTTATATTTGTGTTGGAAATCTTCTAAGCATTTAGTGTAAGTCACCAGTTTTTATGCGTTTATATTCAAATATAAATAAAGGATTTATGTGGACCTATAACGGTCTTCGTCAATGGTTTTGCAGTGAAAAAACCTTTCTACAGCAAATGAGAGCTTATTCGTGAGATGTTGGTTAAGCAAAATGCCTTTCCATGAAGATTGTGTGACCATTTATGCAATCTTTGTAATCGCTCCTTTGTATAATTCTGGGTTTGTAATAAAACTTGTTTGTCGACAAATTCTAAATTCTCAGTATATAATTCTATATTCATGTTGTTTGTTGTATTTTCAGAACATTGTTATTTCAAAAACTTTACTGTGTAAGGATCTAGTTAAATGGAGAGCTCTTTTCTAAAACCGTACTATGTAGAAGTGAATTGACAGGCTTTTTTTATACTAAAACCGTCTTGTTAAATACTTGTTAAAAGGAGAATCCTTCATCATTATTTTAATTTAGATATCTAGTTAAATTTATGAAGAAAAGCCTTACTATGTAGAATTCTAAGTTAATAAAGAAACCTTTGGTATTCAAAAATCTTACCGGTTGATACCGAAAGAATCGTTGTTGGAAAACTTTTCTATACAGAATTACTAGTATCTAAAATAGTGAAACCTTTGCTTTGTCTAAACTTTCCAAAACAGTTTAATCTAGAACAGTATGATTGTTTAATTATGAAATACTTTGTCCTAAAAACGTGTCAAATTATATTAGAGACTGTTGCTTTGTAAAAATGACACCTTTGTTTGCCTATAAACCTTTTAATGTACAATTCAAATTTTGTAAAGAGATTTTTGTAAGTACAAACCACTCAAGATTCAAGATTTTCAAGATTTGATTTCAATAAATGCAAAAGTCCCACAATACATTGTTCCGGGAAACATTAGCAACTTGCGACATAGATAAATACATACATACATAGAATCATATAACGTAATAGAACTTTAACTTATTAAGTGATGACTCTTGTTTGCCCAATTTGTTTTTATTTAGAAATATATACAGTTTGTTTATAATACCCATGTTAGTTTCAAACGTTTCTTTATGAATCTGAATTATAAAGTGGATTGGTCTATCTTGGAATGTATCTGAAACTATAAATAATCATGTTGATTTTAGTATTTAGTATCAGACATAACATCAAACTACTAAATAATTATATAGTTTGTTGTTGACAAGTGTGATATTACATATATTTATATATCAGATAATAAAATGTTCTAGAACAAAGCATTATTGCTCATCCTGTAGATGGTCATACAAAATCACTTACAACTTTATAAACGTTTCTTTTTCAAACAATATTCTTTTAAAAATATTCAAATAACACATTTTCTTTGGGTTTTTTTTATCTATATCTGAAATACTTGTCTTGTGGAATATGTACCCATTCTAGACCATTCATCTTTAAGGTGTACAATAACACGGATGTTTACCCAAAATTATATCAGTTTGAGGTCAAAGTTTATAATAAAGTCCTTGGTGCCCAAACAATCTTTGCAATGTAGTATGTAGGACTTTCGTTCGATCAAGAAATCCTTATAATGTAGAACGTAGGAATTTCGTTTGATCAAGAAAACTTTATAATATTGAACGTAGGACTTTCGTTTGATCAAGAAAACTTTATAATATTGAACGTAGGACTTTCGTTTGATCAAGAAAACCTTTTAATGTAGAACTTAGGAATTTCTTTTGATCAAGAAAACATTATGTAGAACATAGGAATTTCGTTTGATCAAGAAAACATTATAATGTAGTACACAGGATTTTCGTTTGATCAAGAAAACCTTATAATGTAGAACGTAGGAATTTCTTTATACCTTATGTAGAACATGGGACTTTCGTTTGATTAAAAGATCCCTGTCAGTCCAAAAGTCCAAAAGCCTTTTTCTGTAGCTTCAGTGTTGCTCAACGTAACCCTTGTTATTTTTAAAACATTTATCTGCAGAAGTCTTGTTTATTATCAAAAACCCTTCTAATGCTTCAAAAGACTTCCTGATTATTTAAGTACTATCCACTCTTTATCACACTCTGATAGGATGGGTCTAAAATGTAACGTTAAGAGTTCGGCTTACTTTTTATCAAAGGAGATCTGTATTTTGACGTAATTGTGGTTTTATACATCAGGGCATAATGTTTTTCTGTCTTAAAAATCGTGTTAGTGCTATTCCTGGTGCAAACATAATTGACAATATTTTATTATATCTAAATGTGTCTTTATAGTCACTAAGTAGGCACAAAGCAAGCAACATAAGTTAACCACCCACTCTAGCACCGTGCAGTATCGTACACAAAATAAAAATCCATTACAGTTGGTCGTATATCCTTACTCAAATATTTACTTATCTTCGTGGAGAAGTCGTAATATGTTCCCTATTAATAAGTCGTTATGTCTTCCTAGATAAGTCTTAATATCTTCGTTAATAAGTCGTGATTTCTTTTTTTGTAAGTCGTAATTTATTCGTAAAGTAGTCGTTACATCTTCATAGACAAGTCGTAATATCTTCGTAATTAAGTCGTATTATTATCATGAAATAGGGTGATAAACTAGTCAAATATATATCATATTTCTTACAAAAAAAATAAAATAAATACGAAAGTGGGCGGAGTCAAAACTCATTTTTTTTTGGGGGGGGGGGGGGGCTCCTTTCTCAGATGCTGTTCTGTGGCAGTCAGTAGCTTTCATTTTAAAAAAAATTATCCTGTTGTCAATTGGCACATCCCGGCTTATTTTCATAATAACCTCGGACTTAATAGTTTACCACGTGGTTTTAGATGTAAACAAAAACAGAGGGTGCAATCTTTGATAATGTATAACGAATGTATACATTTGACATGCAAAGTAAGTCTATTTCGGTCAAAGTTGATAAAGAATATGCCTGACAACCATTAATAAAAAAATGCCAACTGATAAGTTTGTAACCAAATCCGAAATAATGTCAACAGGTACACATTTCGTACTTCCGGTTTTTACAAGCATAATAATAAGTATGTGAATAATGTACTGTTTACTTTTATATCTATAAAATGACTCAGTTAATTGATGCAGTCCTTTACTCGATTAATTGGAATAAATTAAGTCAACAGCTCCTAGTATTTATAATTAAATTACTATTTGTTTACATGGATTATTTTCTTGGCGTAGAATAGGCCGAAATACCGTATCCGTGTATTCTTACTTCTTATCCGAAGTTTGACGGAAAGAGCCAAGAAGATGCGATTGTCTGGTTATCATAATAAATTGTGCATTGAACCGTATCGTGCACATATAGATGATCAATGTTTTTTATTACATCTGCCAAGATTTCAAGATTTTAGATTAGATTCTAAATTCGATATTTATTGATTAAAATATAAGCCTAATGGATTATCTACTTCCATATAAGAAAATTGCAGAATTACAAGAAAAATACATGTATTCAAATGCAATTATACATGAAAAAAGTATTTTTCATTAAATTGACTAGATTTACTAGATCTATAATATGAATTACATTTTGTTATTTTAAAAATGTGTTCTCGATCTGTTAACATTGCTGACATCTTTTTATATACTCGTTTTATTTGGTAAGGGACAATAATATTTAGAAAAGATTCACGTTTATAAAAATCTTATATTCACGTTATACGGAAAAGTAAGTAAAAAAATGATGTTTTTTTTTCTATACCATTCATGTTACATTTAAACAAAGTCTGTTTTATTTGCTGTTGTTCCTTTTTTGGGTGGGGGTTGTTGTTGTTGTTGTTTTCAATATTTCTAAAATTACATGTACCTTCTTTAGTCATTAACCCCTGATCGGAAATAACATTTTAAATATACACAACCTATCCTAAACTTAAATAAATATTAATTCTCTCAATTCGAAAAGGATGAAAACAAAATTAAAGTCAAAATGTATTGACATAAATTTAATTATGTAATTCTGTGATAGAAAGTAAAGATTGAATTTGATTTGTTGCCTTAAAAAATCAATAAACAAATAAATATAAATAAATGGATAAATAGAGCCCATTTACCTTATGCAATAAGGAAATAAGTCTAAAGAATGTGATAATATCAAAATTAATTTAACATATCAATCAACTTAAACAAACTCAACGAAGAAAAACTACCGTCAAGAACGTTTTATGCCAAATGATATTATTTCAATGCTAATAAAGCTAAAGCAACAGAATGCGGCAGTTTCGAGAAAATTAATATACTCCATGTAAATTTTATGTACTTTCATGCCATTTATGTGCATTCTGAAAGTAAGAAGTTAATTTAACTTCCTCGAAGGTGTACATGTATATATCTACAAAAACGGGCAAATAAGTAAGAAGTACAAGTGTAAAAATCAAATGTGTACAGATCTAATTTGCATATTAAGTAGTTTACGAGCTAGTCCAAAGTAGCGGCTAGCCTAGCTAAAACTTTATATGTTTCTCAATAACTTGTAAGTTAAAGGTCCATTGAGCTCCAGAAATGTTTTATTATTATTATTATTATTATTATTATTATTATTATTATTATTATTATTATTATTATTATTATTAAGAACATTATTTGTTGACATGTTGCCACTTTAATGACGAATAATTTCAAATTTTAGTGCTTATTTCTTCAGGTAACAAGCATCTAACATGCTCTAAAACCATTATTTGAATGTATTAAAACCAATGCTTGCCCTTTCTAAAAAAAATTAAAATCATTCTCAGGCAAAATGCCTTTAAGATGAATCTCCTTTCCAGACGAAGCCTTTTAAATAACGCGAATGTTGCATTCTTGCATGAAAGTACTATAAACGCATATGTCTCATAATCTAACAGTAACCAACACATTTACAATGTATATAAATTTATGACAAACAATCATTCATCTACGATATCAGTGATCTTTATAGTTCTATATCTATCATACGCTCGTAAAAAATCGGAACATTTCGTAACTTTCCGTGTTCAAAATTCGAAAATTCAAGCAACCCTAATATAACAGTCATAATGTGACTTACAAGATTTTCAGCCCAATGCTCTTTAAGATAAATAATACTTACGGAAAGTGGCGAAGCTAGCCGAATGAATAACGGAAAGTGGCGACGCTTGCCGAATAGAAGATAAAATATGTTTGACCATTATAAGGAAGATTACTTTGTTTATTTTCAGGTGGGAACTACCGGACATCTGCCAGCAGACGAACTTTGACAAGCAGATTACAATACGAACGATCAACTTTAATGTCACCACGTTGTGGCTATATCTTGGCCAGTCTGACTGTTTACTTAGTCTCGGAATTACTTGAATGTTGGATTGAGAAAGATTGAGGGGGGTAATATTTCCCATAACAAAAATATGAATTAACCTTGTTGATATACCTTAGTGAATGAATTCTTTGATTTGATCAAAAAATTGACGATCAATCTAAAAGTTAAGGTACATCGTTAAAGTCAAAGAAGACATCTTAACGGAAGTAAAAATTGGGATTGGTTCCCAGCGCGAGTGTACCTGATGATCAAAATGTCCGAACGAGTGATGGTCAGTACCGAGAATATGTCTTATAACTTGTCCACGGTAGCGTCATCCGAATTAAAGTATAAAATAGAGCAACGATTCAAAGAGGAAGCGAGTTTACCATACAGCAGACAATTCTCTCCAAATCAACAGCAGAACCAGTCACCCGGTCCACCTCGCATTTCACCTAAACCTCAAGAATATAGCGAAGAACCCAACGAGAAACAAAACAGTCCAGGGGAAGCAGAATATGAGCAACGAATGCAAAGACAAACGGAAAGCGGGATAGTGTTTCAAACAGATGGAACAATAGCCGATTACACGGAAGAAGGGAACAGGGCGGCCATGAAGTTAACGGAAAGTGAAGAGCGTGAAAATGACATGCAGCCGCCTGAACTCCCGGTTTCTGGCTTAATCAACGCCCCAGGGAATGAGAATTCAATGGCTTATAATGAAATTCATGAGGCAAGTAAAGTGACAAGTGAAACTGCCGATGATCATATGGACACTGAAGGTAATGTGGCAGCTATGGCCTTAACTAACGAGGAAAAGTTAGATGAGCATATGAATGGAAAACCTTCAGATGAAAGTATTGCGTATCAACATCAAAGTATAGCAAAACATGATGAAATGAATGGCGGGTCATTAAACTACTCAACCGAAGAGAATGTGTACACACAGTTGGTACCCCCGTCTGGCGACCGAAATCAACAACTTATAACGATAGACCCTAGCTATCTAAATGCGCATGGTCCAGAACATAGTGAAGGGGGAACCAGTCATAGTACATTGAGCGCCGTGTTACGTAGCGGGTACACAGTTCAAAATTTGACATACTTAACCCCGAGTCATGTGACCCATGCTCCGATTGATAATCCTGGCCAACTTCTCCCGCAAGCGGATGTTGAGGCTTTCTTTAGCGATATGGAGCGCCCTATGGCCACGAGTGTGAGCCTGTCAGGAATGTATTCAACGGGGACGGGACAATTTACTACACTTACAAACCCACCTGGATTAACTCTTGCACAGACATACCAAACACAGAACGGAAGTGGGCGGCTCGTATCACTTCAGCCGCCATCTTATTCAGATAATCAAGGTGAATATGGACTTACTCAGTTATACTCTTCTCGACAGGGTACGATTCCACCGCAGTATCTCGGTACTGACCAAGGATCGAGCTCATCTCCTACGCCTCAAGCCAATGCACAATGGGGAACCAGTGCACATGACACACTTTACGCTACTACTTCATCGAGTCATACGATCGGGAACCAAGCTCAGAAATATACATACCCTCAACTAAATGACAGTCCCGTCGGTAGGGACGATTCTCAGATATCATCGCAGTACTCACGGGGTCTTCCGGTGGCTAGTTCGTACACGGGATACCTTTCACAGGACCTCAACACCGGTGGCTGGTATCAAAGTGCGCCTAGTCCGTACTCCGATGTCAGACCTACTGGTAAGTAGCTTGATATTTGAATGGCTTCTTTATCTTTATTAATGTGTTTTCAGGTCCGATTTGTAAGTTTTCAGGATTATCTGTACCAATATGTTTTCTAGTTTGATTTGTAAGTTCAAGGTTCGTCTGGTAAAGATCTATCTCAATTTATTGTCAAGTTCAATAGATTGATCTGGTTAGATTCATACGATTTAAAGTGGTCCAACTGATGGGGTCTTTGTTATATGGTATTTAAGATTCATGACCCTCATTTTGGACAGAATGATACTTTAAACCCTATGCATGTTATGACCGTACATGTTTCTAAGTCGATATTGACCTTCCCAGCAGGGAGCAGGTCCCTTTGATCGTGATCATCAGGCACTTTTGATATATTGTACTAGTAAATAATGTGAGCTGTCAATTTATCTCATATGCGATGGACGATCACTGGGTTGCATTCTTGTCCTAATTTTATTCGGAATTACCATGCAAGAGCTAATTGTTACAAGTACTAGCTATAAATGTGTACAATATTTCTAATTTCAAATTCTAAACTTTATTAAATATGCGGAAGATAATCACATTACATGAACATAGACTTGGGAGATGTTATTTTTCACTGATAACAATAATCAATACCACCCTTATCAGTTTGTTTGACGACATGAATTCCTTGATAAACAGAAGCTAATATAAAAATTCCCTACACACTAAATGTTTATAAGGTCGATAGCTATAAATTTTGCACTTTGTACATTTAGAGAAAAGATCAGGTGTAATTAAAGTTCAGTGGCAAAACTTTCGGGAAGTCGAGGAGCGGAATCAAATCGAGGAGCGAAATTAAAATCAAACTACTAAAGCATGTTGTACTTTGGTTGAGACAGGGTGTGATAGATCCTGATTGAACTATCTATCTCTGCACGGCGGCTGTTTTGATGGAATTTGAGATTATGTTTTTGTTGCCTTATACATGTACTTGTCAGAAAATAATCTTCTATATGGCCGTCCATTCGAGTTAACTGTTAGTGACCATTGAATAAATGCAAACACTCGAAATGTGGGGCAGAAAAAAAACAAGAAGCATCTTTAAAAGATACTCGGCCCAAGTAAAAGCTGCTTATACTTGTATAGGTTATTTGGGAGATGTGATACATGAAGAAATGTTAGCTCAGTGTTTGTTTAATAATGACAGTCAATTACTTGTTTTTAGTGTGTTTTTTTTTTCATGGAACATGAGTGTCCAGGATCGTGAGCGTTATTTGTGATCTCGTTATTTAAGACAAAACTTATAAAATGTTATTTAAATCACAGTTAGATAAGTTGTTCATAGGAGAAACAATTTTAAAAGCAGTCTTAACTGTTGTAAAAAGTTAATAATAGCCGAGAAATTTAGCTTAAAACTTTGTTTCCGTAACTCCTTCAGATTATTTCGAAATTGAATACGTTTCAGAAAGATTACGGAAGCCCATAAGTGCCATTTTGTCTTAGGACTTTTGTCTTATGACTAATGACTTTTGTATTATGACTTTTGTCTTATGTATTATGACTTGACAAAAAAGGCGGCAAAAAGGCAAGTTTCATCACATGCGCCCATTATGGCTGACGGAGGTAAATCTGATAGTGAAACAGAAGACAATTTGGTAAGTGTTGAAATTTAAACAGTTAGGCTCCCTTATACAAGCTTATTTCTCAATTTATTATTGTTTGTTCATAGCGAACACTATTTATGCTATTTATTTATAGCACATACTTGCTCCGATTCATGTATCAGCTAAAACTACAAATATTTCATCAAGAGTACAAAATTTAGACAATTTAACAGGTAAATATTCCTGCTGTTAGTGCAAAGCACTCCTCACAGTGTTATCTCACCATATCTGTTCATTAACCTGTGCAATCACTTGAACAATATATTTTGACTTTCTTTGAGTTGAAATAGTAAGGAAATAAATAAAAATATCCAAGATTAATTAATAAGTGATTTTACTGCTTTGAGGTTTGCAAACATCATGATTTACTATGGCCACCTGTTTTTTATGTTAGCAGGCATAATGCCTGTCATAAGAATCAAATTTCAAAGATAGATAAACTTCATTCATGAGTGTAAAAGTGGAATAAGGTTCATTTCCCCTAAAAAAGCATGGATTATGATACACTTGACGGCTTAATGGTCCCACTTGGCAGATACAGCGTCATTAAAGCCAGTTAGCATATATAACACGTAATGTGTTGTAAGGTGATGTGTATTTTGAGAATCAGCAATAACATTAAAGAATATTTATAGGTCTGATCATATTTCACTCAATGAATTTTTTACAGCACATAAAATTTCAAAAATATCTATAAATTCATCATTTAAATTTCTAGAGTTTTATCTTTAATTCAGTTTGTATATTTTGTTCTGTACTATGGTCTGTATAGAAACTATGCGAACAACAGGGAAAATATAAATCACTTTTATCTACATCTTTCAAGTTGCTGGCTAATTAACTGTAAGGTGAGATATAAAATGATGCAATGTTGACCCGGTATGAACTGATAAGTCACAACACTTGGAATAATCTAGTCATGTGTAACAAGTTTATTCAGGAGACCACTAAATGATTCAAGGAATTATTAATGATAATTTATCAAGAATAAAATAACAATATCTATTTCAAAATCATATCGAAGTAACACTTTCTGTGTCATAGGCTAATAACAATTGATAACACAACTTTATATGAGACATGTATAAATGTTATAATGGAGTACTTATAAGAATGCTACACTTTAATTTAAAACTGCCTTTAATAAGTGTTTTTAAAGCAGTTACAATAACAAAATCAATTTAAAAACAAGAGTGCCATGATGGCCCTGAGGTCGCTCACCTGTATATAGGCCCCCCACCCCCGGGCCAATTTTTACCCAAGGGCTTTTATTTGTTTATTTGAACAGACTTGGTAGACACCCATAAGAAGATGTTTCATGCTAAACATCTAAGTTCTAGCTCATTGGCATTTTTAAAAGAAGATTTTTAAAGTTTTTACTATACACATATAGTTAAAAACAATGTCACCCCTGGGGCAGGGCCAGTTTTGACCCCCGGGCGTTTATTTTAACAAACTTTGTTGATATTTACTTAAAGATGTTTCATGCTTAATATCTAAACTCTAGCTATTTGGGTTTTTCCAAAGAAGATTTTTAAGTTTTTGCTATACACATATAAGGAAAATCTATGACCCCCCCCCCGGGCGGGGCCAGTTTTGACCCCAGGGCTTTTATTTGAACATACTTGGTAGACACCCATTAGAACATGTTTCATGCTAAATATCTTAGCTCTAGCTCTTTGAGTTCTTTAAAAGAAGATTTTTTAAGTTTTTACTATAAGTTTATAGGAAAAATCAATGACCCCATGGGGCGGGGCCAATTTTGACCCCAGAGCTTTTATTTGAACAAACTTGGTAGACACTCATTAGAAGATGTTTCATGCTAAATATCTTAGCTCTAGCTTTTTGTGTTCTTTAAAAAAAGATTTTTTAAGTTTTTACCATATGCATATAGGGAAAATCAATGACCCCCGGGGCGGTGCCAATTTTGACCCCAGGGCTTTAATTTGAACAAACTTGGTAGACACTCACTAGAAGATGTTTCATGCTTAATATCTTAGCTCTAGCTCTTTGGGTTCTTTAAAAGAAAATTTTTTAAGTTTTTACTATATGCATATTGGGAAAACCTATGACCCCCTGGGGCGGGATCAATTTTGACCCCAGGGCTTTTATTTGAACAAACTTGGTAGACATTCACTAGAAGATGTTTCATGCCAAATATCTAAGCTCTAGCTCTTATGGTTCTTTAAAAGAAGATTTTTTAAGTTTTTACTAAATGCATATAGGGAAAATCAATGACCCCCGGGGCGGGGCCAATTTTGACCCCAGGGCTTTAATTTGAACAAACTTGGTAGAAACTCACTAGAAGATGTTTCATGCTTAATATCTTAGCTCTAGCTCTTTGGGTTCTTTAAAAGAAGATTTTTTAAGTTTTTACTATATGCATATAGGGAAAATCAATGACCCCCAGGGGCGGGGCCAATTTTGACCCCAGGGCTTTTATTTGAACAAACTTGGTAGACACTCACTAGAAGATGTTTCATGCCAAATATCTAAGCTCTAGCTCTTATGGTTTTTTAAAAGAAGATATCAGTTTTTTCTTTTGGTTGCCATGGCAACCAGAGTTTTGCATGGAATTAAATTCTTTGAACAATTTTTAAAGGTGACCACCAAAGGAAAATTCCTGTGAAGTTTGGATGAAATTGGCTAAGTGGTTTATGAGGAGATGTCATTTAAAGCAAAAGTTTACGGACGGACGGACGACGGACGGACGGACGCCGGACGAAAAGCGATCACAAAAGCTCACCCTGTCACTTTGTGACAGGTGAGCTAAAAACTGACCAGCAGGATTATTGTTCTCTAGAACTGAATTGGATAATACAAGCGAGGAATGTCAGTTTTGATTTTGAGAAACATAACATTTGAAGTAGATTTATGGAAAGATAAACATAAAGTACCTTTGTAAATATTTACAAAAAGGAAAGGTTTGGGAGAATAAGTGTATTGGAAACCCTTGCATTTTCCCGCCATCTGTGAGATATCTCACTATACACTCAGTGACTCAGTGAATTATTATCACCTGGTATCTCACTTACGGAGAATTTGAATTTTGTAGCAAACAACAAAGCATGATTTATGTGTGAAAATGTAATTATTAAGATATATAAAAATTATTCCCAATTTCAAAATATTGTTTTGTTAATATAAAAAGAAATTCAACTTCCAAGCTCTTCACTGGCATGTGTATCACTGAAAAGAAAAAAATGGAAACAAAGTGATCCCCCTGAAGCATTGATCACAACAAAATTATGCGAAAATTGCAGACTCAGTTTGATTGAGTCTGTACATGAGGGATAATGAATAAGTGCAACATCCCTCACGCCCCCTTGCACCGTCTTGAGCGGTACTCATTATCCACACTTAATACTG